CCTTGAATTGCAATATTGAAGGATTCTATGGACAAAACATTGAACAACACAGGAAACATAAAAGGAAGATGGAAGGAATACACAGAGTCACTGTTCTGAAAAGAATTGGTCAATGTTCACCCATTTCAGTATGTAGCATATTATCAAGTACTGATATTATTGAAGGAAGAAGTCCAAGCTGACACAAAACAAGGCTTCAAGAATTGATGAAATACCCATTGAGGTGTTTCCATAAAGGAATGCAGTGCAGGAGGTGATTGCTCAACTGCCAAGAGATTTGAAAAACAGGTACCTGGCCAACCAACTAGAAGAGACCCATATTTATGCTCATTCCAAAGAAAAATGGTCCAATAGAATGCAGAAATTATTGAACAATATTATTAGGATCACACACAAGTAAAATTTTGTTGAAGCACTACATCAACTGGAAACTGCCAGAAATTCAAGCTGGATTCAGAAGAGGATGCAGAATGAGGGATATCATTGCTGATATCAGATGGACCTTGGCTGAAAGCAGAGAATACCAGAAAGATGTTTGTTTCTATTGACTATGCAATGGCATTTCGACTATGTGGATAATAACAAATTATGGATAGCATTGTGAAGAATGGGAATTCCAGAACACTTTATTGTGCTCATATGAAACCTATGCACAGACCAAGAGGTTGTTGTTCAAAAAAGAACAAGGGGATACTACATGGTTTAAAATTGAAAGGTGTGCAGCAGGGTTGTATCCTTTCACCATACTTATTGAACCTATATGCTGAACAAATAATTCTAGAACCTGACTATATGAAGAAGAACCTGGCATCAGGATTGGATGATTCATTAACAACCTGTGATATACAGATGACATAACCTTGTTTGCTGAAAGTGAAGATGACTTGAAGCACTTACTCATGAAGATCAAAGACTGCAACCTTCAGTAGGAATTGCACCTCAACATAAAGAAAACGAAAATCCTCACGACTGAACCAATAAGCAATATCATGATAAACAGAGAAAATACTGACATTGTCAGGGATTTCATTTTACTTGGGTCCACAACCAATGCCCATGGAAACAGCAGTCAAGAAATCAAATGACATATTTCACTGGGCAAATTGCTGCAAAAGAGCTCTGTAAAGTGTTTAAAAAAAAAAAAAAGCAAAGATGTCACTTTGAAGACTAAAGTGCATGTGACCCAAGCCATGGTATTTTTCAGTTGCTTCATATACATGCAAAAGCTAGACAATGAATAAGGAAAACTGAATAATTGATGCCTTTGAATTATGATGTTGGTGAAGAGTATTGAATATACCATGGGCGGCCAGAAGAACAAACAAATCCATCTTAGAGGAAAATAGCCAGAATGCTCCTTGGAAATGAGGATGGCGAGACTTCTGGTAAGATGGAGGACTAGGCAGACAAGGAACACAGACCCTCTTCAACAAAGAAAAGAAAAACAAATTGACAGAGACACAGGATACTCCTGGAGCCATGAGCTTTGAACTATGCAGAAGTGGATTAGGCACCATCGTGGAAAAACCTGAACGAAAACATTGAGTGCAGAGATGGTCTGAGCTGCAGACTGTCAGCTACTCTGACAGGACCAACAGCCTGAATATTTCCAAGTGGGGTTGGGACCTGAGAATTGACCTAAAGATCAACCCTGGACACCAAGGGCTGCAGGGACAATTGCTCTGGTAGCCTATGACTAGGAAGGGAAACAGCAAGGAGGGAGACAACCTGAGCTGTTGACTTTCCGCTTTCCAGAGGGTGCAGCCATTTTGATTGTTTACATGTGGCAGCCATTTTGGATATTCATAGTGACCGAGGGCATAGCCATTTTCAATGTTTACAAGCAGCAGCCATTTTGGATATTTAAAGTGACTGAGGGTGCCACCATTTTGAATGTTTACAAGTGGTGGCCATTTTGGATATTTAAAGTGACCAAGGGTACCGCCATTTTGAATCTTTACAAGTAGCAACCATTTTGGATTTTAAAGTGATAGCATTCTCATTCAGATTCCAGGGACCTAATAATAGGCTCGAAAGAGGGGGAGGCCTTCAACGAGATGGATTGATATGGTAGCTGCGATGATGGGCTCAAGTATAGCAGGGATTGTGGGGCTGGCGCGGGATCAGGCAGTGTTTCGTTCTGCTGTGCATGGGGTCACTATGAGTCGGAAATGACTCGACGGCACTTAACAACAGCAACAAGAATAGGCTCTGTTCGCCAAGGTTGGCAGGGACATACGTGAGGCTGACAACAGGAGAAGAGACAGGTGATGAGCGTATTAAGTGCTGTCAGCTAGCGAATAGAGGAACACAGCACAGTACCCTGCTTGCATAGATAACATACAAACAAAACAAAGAAAATGAAAATCGTGAGCAAGTCACTCCAACATTCAATCACCAATTAAATATAAACACGAAAACATCAAAATGCCTCAGAGACAACAGAGCATCACAGACCACACAAAGAAACAAGACAAAGCAGGAGAAACAAGGGACCACGGTACAGACCCAGAATACATCCATGAGGAAGATACAGCATTGGAACTCCCTGATAAGGAATTCAAAAGACTTATATTTAGGTATCTTCAATGAATTGAGAGACCGATCAAGGAAAACACAGAGAAAACCCTAGAACAATTTTGAAAGACAATACAAGAACAAAATGACAAAATAAATGAAAAATTAGAAATGATACAAAGTCTACACACAGAAATCCAGAAGATTAATACAGAAGTTTCAGAAATCAATAAGATATTGAATGGGCAAAGGAGCAGAATTGAATCAATTGAAGACAGAATTAGGGAAATTGAAGGTAAATACCTGAACACTTCTTTGGAAAGGGATAAGTCAGAAAAAAGATCAAAACAAAATGAAGAAAGCCTAAGATTCATGTGGGATACCATCAAAAGGAATAACCTACATGTAATCAGAATTCTAGTACAAGAAGAGAAAAATAAAACCAAAGAGAAAATTGTTGAAGATTTGTTGGAAGAGAATTTTCCTGGTATGATGAAAGATGAGAATATATCCATTCAGGAAGTCCAATGAATCCCAAGCAGGATAGACCCCAAAAGAAAATCACCCAGACATATCATCATCAAACTTTCTAAAAACAAAGACAAAGAAAGAATCATAACAGCAGCACTGGAAAAATGAAAAGTTACCTACAAGGGGCAACCAATAACACTAAGCTAAGATTTCTCAGCAGAAACTATGCAGGTGAGAAGACAATGGGATGGTGTATATAAAACCCTGAAAGAGAAGAATTTCCAACCAAGAATTATGTACCCAGCAAAATTGTCCCTCAAATATAGTGGTGAAATTAGGACATTTCCAGATAAGTAGAAATTAAGGGAATTTGTTAAAACCAGACCAACCTTACAAGAGATGCTAAAGGGGGTCGTTTAGAAGCAACAACTGATCATTAACATACATGATGATATAACCCAGAAACCAACCCAGCTATGGAAATATTCAAAGTAAATAAGCTTATAAGATTGTAAACAGGGAACCAGAGACACCAACCGACAAATGAGGACAATTACAAACCAAAAAAGAGGGGAAAAACTGTCATTACAGAACTTCTAAACAGTAGGGAAGTCAAGACAACTACAAGATAGAATGGGCTGTTCTAAACTTGGGAAGAAAACTATAAATCACAGGGTAACCTCAAAGAAAAATGATAAAAAAGAGGACCAGCATAAATATTCAGCAAATACTAAAACAATAGCAATGAAGGAAGTGATAACATGATTCATAAACAAAATGAGCTGAGCATAGAAAATTATATGGAACAAAGAAATCGACACCATGAAAAAGCACATAACAAAAATGACAGCAACAAATTCATATTTGCTGATAATTATATATCTAGCAAAGGACTTATTTCTAAGATTTATAGCAGAAGAGTGGATGACCAAACTATGGTACATACACATAATGGAATGCTATGTAGCACTAAAGAATAATGTAGTCTTCAAAACACCGCATAATATGGATGAACTTGGAGGAAATTATGCTGAGTGACATAAGTCAATCACAGAAGGACAAATATAGTATTAGTTTGTTGTTATGGAGGGTCAAGGAAAGGTTTATATATGGAGGGAAACTTTCTTTGTTGGTTGCCAGGGTGGGAGGGGAGGGGAAAATAACAAAAAAAAAAAAAAAAAAAAAAATGCATTGATCCATGTCACTTTAGTTTTGTGAATTCACTGCACATAAATTATATTTCAATAAAATGCATTAAAAAAAAGAAAGAAAGAAATGAGAATGGCAAAACTTTGTCTCATGTACCTGGGACATGTGATCAGTAGGAACCAGTCCCTGGAGAGGGACATCATGCTTGGTAAAGTAGAGCTTCAGTGAAAAAGAGGAAGACCATCAGTGAGGTGGATTGACACAGTGCTGGCAACGACATAGCCATGATTGTGAGGACGGCACAGGGCCAGACAGTGCTTTGTTCTGTTAGAGGTGGGGTTGCTATGAGTTGGAACTGACTCAGCAGCACCTAATGACAACAACCACAGTTTTATCCCAGAGTCCGTGCTCTTACGCTGTGCTGCGTGCCATATGGCGGAGCTCAGGCACAGAGGTTCTTTAAGTTACTTGCTCAAGCCCATAGAGTTAGCAAATGAATTTGATGAAATTTGAATGCAGGCAGCCTGGTTCTGAAACCTGGCCATAATGGCTAGGATACCTACTGTGACCCCTCTCCCTACCCCTTAGTCATGTGGTATTTACTGAAGTGCAGAGAACACTCTGCCCCCAGGGACTCCTTCCCCTGGTTGGGCCGGAAGCTGAGCCACTGTCTCCGTAGGGCCTGTGTACAGTGACCTCTTCCCCAACCCTCTCCACCTCCAGAGTGGAGCTGCCAAGTGCTGAGGAGGGGCCTGGCACTTCCCAGGTTCTGTTCAAACCAGTTTTCCCCTTGTCCTTGTCCCCTCACTTCTGTGCCCTTGGCCTTGAGGCCGGCCATCACTTTTTAACACATAAGTGTACATATGTGTACAGTCTTCTCCATTGAGGTTGATGGAAACAGGTTTACTAACCTCCCTTCCCAGGGGAAGTTCCCAAGGAGGATGGAGAGGAAATCTAGGTGCAGCAAATGCTCCAAGACCACCAAAGAGCCCTGCTTGGAATCTCTTACCAACAGCCCTGAGGACAGAGCTTACCAGAGAGAAGGGACTAGCGAGGGATTCTTCTCCAAACAGGAAAAGGGGCATCTGCTTGTGTATGCTGTGCCATCACTTGAGCAAAACAAGTTCCTTCCCTTGACACCTTGATGGGCGAGCACTTGCATGCCTCCAACAAATAAACCCTGCTTACCACTATGACTGTTTAAGCCCCAGGACAGGGGTGGAGAGGGGAAGGAGGAAGAGGACAGACCCCTGCTGTAGGGCCAGAGTTGCCAGGATGATGGGGCCAGTCACACATCTTTGTAGCACCATCCAGGGAACATGGAGGCCCCAATGAGGACACAGAGAGTGAGGGTGCTAAGAGTTCAGGAAGAGAGAGGCAGAGCATCATGGACTGGGTGGGGGAGTGGGTGGTGCAAGGAAAGCTAGAGAGAAGGGGATAGAGCCAACCTGGGCTGTGGGTACCCAGCAGTTTGCAGAAACCTCCCTCTGCAGCCTTGTGTCCCCCTGGGAAGGGCTCTTCCCTTAGGCGTACAGCCAGAGGCTGTCCCCTGACTCTGTACTGTCTATGGTCTTCCCTAGCTCTGGCCTTGAAAGGCATTGACTATGAGACAGTACCCATCAACCTTGTGAAGGATGGGGGACAGCAGGTAAGGAGGCCACCCTGGGGCCAAGATGTGGGAATGGAGTGTGGGGAGGCACCAGGCAGGGTGTGCAGACTTCTGCCTCCAAGGTGAACCTGCATGCTACGGTTCCCACAGTGGGGGAGGTTCTCGCACTCCCTTGTGGGACATGGCAGAGGGCTGTGCAGCCGAGGAGCCATGGTAAGGGCCCATGTTCCAGGCTCCACACTGCAGTCCAGTTTCTCCAATGCCTGACTCCAGGAGGCATGGCTGGCTGGCTGGAGTAGGAGCTTGGAGACCACACTGTGACACACAGGGAAAAGCACACAGCCAGGCTGTTGGGATGAAGCCTGTAGCTTAGCAGCCACTGAGGCTGAGACACATACATCCCCCAGGGCTCCTGGGTCTAGGAGCCAGGGCCTTCCCCTGGGAAGGGAGGTGTGGAGGAGTTGTAGACCAGGTCCTCCTACTTGCCGAGTTCTCCTCTTGCCAACTCAAGCCAGATCACTCAGCCCATCAGGGCCTTGTCTCCACAGTTCTCTGAAGAATTCCAGGCCACGAATCCCATGAAGCAGGTGCCAGCCATGAAGATAGACGGAATCACCATCAGCCAGTCAGTGAGTGCAGGCTGATGGGAGGCTCCTCGTGAGAGTGGTGCCCTGGACCAGAGGGCCTTATATCTCTTCCTTGCCTGTGTAATACAGCCAGGGTGCCTAGTACATAGTAGGGTATGGATCAATATTTTGTCTGAGGGAGAAAAGGAGAGAGGGAGGTTGTTCTGGGAAGTGAGGGGCTCAAGCATGTGGGGATCCAAGTTCTGCAGAGCAAGAGCCCAGAAAAAGCATTCTCCACTAGGGAAGCCTCTTGGCTTTACTGAGCTCCACTGGAAGGGAGGGGAGGAGAAGGAGTTTGCTGGCCCTGTTCCCTTTGGTCCAGGGGCCTGGGGCCCTCTCCCTGCCCCACTGATCCTCTCTGGGCAGCTGGCCATCATCGAGTACCTGGAAGAGACTCGGCCTACTCCACGACTCCTGCCTCAGGACCTGAAGAAGAGGGCCAGTGTGCGCATGATTTCAGACCTCATTGCTAGCGGCATCCAGCCCCTGCAGGTGTGGCGCCCGTACCCCTGTCTCCTCACACCCTCACACTACCCCCCCCGTCACACCCACGGCCCCTCCCACACTCTGACCTCCCAGCACTCCCAACACTGAGTGTCGTGAGCCCACAGTAGATAACCAGCTTGGGTATGGGGAGTGGCAGGAAGGCAGAGGGGTGCACAGGGACTTGGATCGAGATCATGTGGCAGAGAGAAGGAAGGAGCCCGGAAGTCATGCAGTCCAGTGGGTCCCAACCTGTGTTCCAGAAAAGGCTAGGTTTCCCAAGACCTGCCTGGAGTCACTCAAGGTGGGGAAAGGGTGAGGGTGGCAAGGAAGAGGCTGAGCAGGTGCAAGCCCAGGCCTGAGCCCGCCTTTACACAGAGCAGCCTCCTTTCTGTCTGTTTCATATCTTACATTGGGAGCTCTGGTAGCATAGTGCCTAAGGCACTTGACTGCCAACCAGAAGGCTGGCGGTTCAAACCCATCGGCCACTCCTCGGAAGGAAGGTTGGGCAATCCTACTTCCGTAGTGATACTGCCTCGGAAACCCAAGGAGGGGTCGCTATGAGTCGCGGCCGACTCGACGGCAAATAACAACAACAACAGCAACAAGATTTGATGTGGAAAAGTTTTCACTAGTCAAACAAAGAAGAGCATATTAAAACAATTCATCTATGTTACTCCTGGTTTATGACTGAGGAAATAGCCCCTGAGAGGAAGTCACTCAGCTAATCAGTGGCAGAACGTGAGCCAGAGCCCGAGACCCCCAGCCCATGTCACAGTGTCTTTATTGTTTTATTTTAAGAGCTTGTTTTACATTCAATGTCACGTGTACATTTAGTTTCATTCCCCATTCACCATGTCCAACCCCAACCCAGTCTCCTCCCCTCCCTACCCTGCAATACTCCCCCTGTGCCCCTCATAATCATGCACTCCTGTTTGTCCTGCATTTCCTCATTTTGAATGTTGGTCCTTTAGTGTCCCATGGTTTATTGCTTTAGGGGATGCATTCCCATTGAGTGTGTGGGTGCAGTATCCTGGGTTGAGTGTTCTGCGTGTACCTCTTGCTAACCATTGGGCTGAGAGCCTACCCCTGGGGGTGAGTTTTATTCCAGGCGCTGAATGTATTTCAGGGCCATAGTATTGGAAGTCTCACCAGACTTCATCTGACCAGTAATTCTGGTCATTATTGAGTTTTTGGATTTTGTTCCATGTTTTCCCTCTCACTCTATCCAGGATCTCTAGATTTGATCCTTTCCTGAGTGGTTGGCATTGGTAGCTGGGCACCATCTGGTTCTTCTGGTCTCAAGGGCCATCATGTCCTAAGGTTAATTGCTTCTAAATGCCCTTGGTTTTTTCTTTTTTTTTTTGTGCGTTCTTCACTTCCGATGCTGGAAGACCATTAGCTGCATCCTAGATGGCTGCTTGAAAGCTTTTAAGACCCCAGTCACTACTCACCAATGCAGGATATGGAGCAATGCTTTTGTGTATTTTGTTGTGCCAATTGAGTCTGGTGTACCCCAGTACTATGGTCCTGAGGTAGTAGCTCTATTGGATCTCTCTACCATAATGTCTGGTTGTTTGTGAGGGATTACTTTGTGTCTGTCTTCTATTGTTTCTGTAAGGACTGCAGGTATTTTGTTATCATTGGTGTCTGTACAAGATTAGCCTCGGCTGAGTCTATCCTTGGTCTAGAGTATACCTCTATTCACTGATCCTTGTCTGATCATCTCAGGTGTTTATGTGTGTATCTGTATAGCCTAGTGTTTGGTGTTAATGGCAATGTGGTATTGTGGACACATTGGTTGGTTTTAACATCTGTTGTCTATCTCTTATGAGCGCAGTTCGGTGTCCCCTCATTTCCCAATGTTATCGTGGTGGTCATATATCCTTCTCGTATATCCCTCCTCCTACCCATGTCAGCGTGCAAGTCCCAACTAGCCCTAAGTTACACAGTGTCTTTTTTAACAAAGGAGACTGGAGCTGATAGCCTCATTTTACAGATGAAGGAACTGCAGCCCAAAGTAAAATGGCTCCAGTGGGGCAAGGCCCCTGGAAGCCAATCCTATGCATCACCCCATCCTGCCCCACCCTGCGTCACACTCCCTCTCCTCACACAGGACTGTCCAAGAGAGAAGCGTTGGGTGCAGGGGAGCTAGGCCTCAGGTTATGGTCACACCTGCCCCAGTCATGGCAGTGCCCTGTGCCCCCACCCCTGCATACCTGTCCCAGATCACGTGGCTTTCAGACTACGGGGGCTATTGGCAGTCTGAGAAGGTGGCTGCTGGGACTGCTGCTTCCCTCTAACCTCAGCGTCCTGGTGGGAGGCAGTGGCTGAATGGAGTCCAGGGGTGTAGGTGCACAGCTGCAGGCCGATGGGAACTGAGCTTCCCTGAGGGGGCTCAGCTGATGGGGCAGGATCAGCCTGGATGCCCAAGCCAATCACAGACTTTCCTTGGGCTGCACAGAACCTGTCTATCCTGAAGCAAGTGGGTCAGGAGAACCATCTGGCCTGGGCTCAGAAGGTCATCTCTTCTGGCTTCACTGGTGAGTCCTTACTCCTGCCAGCTGCTCTGAGGTGGCATCTCAGAGAAATGGCCCCTCATGCCCAGGAGCCTGGTCATCTGAAACATCCTCTCGGGCAGCTTTGGTGACAATGGCTTGGGTGAGGGCAGAGCTGAGGAGGCAGTGGGCTGGGTGGGCATTCAGACCTGGCCACAGACTCTGGCACTTCTGGGAACTACAGCCCTTCGGATCGCCCAGCCTCTGCTTTATTGCCCACTCCCCAGAAATCAAGGCCACCAGAAGGCAAACTCTATCAGTGTGTGAACTGCTGCTGGCCACTCTGAGGGAAGGGAATAGCGACTGGGCTTAAGGAGCCTGGGGAAACGTCATCCCATCCCTCTCAACTCTTTCCAGCCTTGGCTGCCGCGTCCCCTCAGCACACATGCCCTCTGAGTGGCCCAGCCTGACACTAAGATGACTGCCCAATTCATAGCTGTAGAAGCCAAGGCTGCTTGCTGACCCCTTTCAGTGCCTAGAGTAGGATTGTTCATGTGGTCTCCCCACAGCTCTGGAGAAGATCCTGCAGAGCACAGCAGGGAAGTACTGTGTGGGAGACGAGGTAAGCTCTCCGACACTTCCTCCCTCATGCTGACCTCAGGCTGCCTCTTTTCCAGTTAGATTTAACCATCTCCCTCCACCTCAGACGCAGGCCCAGCTCAGAGAACTTCCTGAGGAGGCATCTGTATGGGTGGGGGCAAGGCCGGGGACCCATGAGCCTCCTCTATGTGCCATTTGGCATCCCAAGGGCAACCAGAGATTATCTCTGGGGAGTTCATCAGCTCATTCCTACCAAGCTGCCTCAAGAGAAAGTAAGTTTCTCATTCCCGGTGGAATTCAAGCTAGAAGACTTCATCTCTGAGATGATAAGGTGATCCAGGTATCCAATGAGTGATTGAATGATATCTGTGTTCCCTCCCAAATCTGAGATTCTAGGATTCAGGTTCCTTTGACTCCTACAGGTTAAGGCCTTGGATCTGTGGTAACTTGCTCCCAGAGTCCCTTAACCCCAGCATGAGGCATCTCTTCCCTGCTGAGAGCTCTCCCCAAGTGCCTGTTGATGGTGTTTTTAACAAGCTCAGTAATATCCACCAAGACACTCAATACTCAAGCTTTCTCTGGCCACCCACAGAGCTGGTTGTCAGGACAACATGAGTGTGGCCTTGGGAGACAAGTCAGCTCTGGAAGGCAGACCCAGGCAGGCCCAGGGGAGATGGGCCAAAGGGTAGGGATGGGGTGGAAGAGCCAGGGGGCAGATGGGAACTTCAGGAGCCCCCCCTCTAGTTACCCCCTCAGGCCATCAGGTAGGTCTGGGGGTGTGCACCCTGACACAGACCTGTCTGACCCTCTTTCAGGTTTCCATGGCTGATCTGTGTCTGGTACCCCAGGTGGCAAATGCTGAAAGGTAACTGAGAGCCCTCCCTCCCTTCCTCTTCATGCTGGCTCCTCCCCTCCAAACGCCCAGCTTCCTCCCACAGTCAGGCCCTCCTGCATTTCCTGCAGAGACTCTCCCAGATTGGCCAAGTTGCCCTGTGTGCGTGGCAGGCCACACCAGCCACTTTGGCCTGGGGGAGTCAGGGATGGAAGAAATGAGTGAAATGCCCACCCGTGGCCACACCTACCACAGCCCGGGCGATCCTGCACCACTGCTGCTCCTAAGAAGTGGCTTACTTGGTGGATATCCCTGTAAGAAGTCATTCCAAGACTCCCTGTTTTCTGCCCCTAGACAGGGTTTGTCTGGCTGTGAGCTCCACCCCTTCTTTCCCTCCATTGGCCCTTCAACAGGGCATGAGTGTCTGTGGAAGGGACTGCACTAGGCACCGCTGGGGATATGGAAAAGATGGCCTTTTCCCTGCCACCAGAGAAGCTTATGGCAAGGGTGGAGAGACAGTCTGTGTATGTAAATGCCTGGCTCTGTGCCTTATGCATAATAGGTCCTCAACAAATAGCCATTGCTTGGAACGGGAGTAGTTCTGGGCTGGTGCAAATGGTTACCATGCTTGGCTGCTAAAAGGTTGGCAGTTCAAGGCTACCCAGGGGTGTCTGAGAAGAAAGCCCTGGTGATCTGCTTCCGAGAACAGCCATTGAAAACCCTACGAAGCCCAGTTCTACTCTGATACATATGGGGTCACGCCAGAGCCGACTCGGTTGCAACTAGTCTGGTTTTGTGTTCTGGGAATGGAACAGTAGGTCACAGAAATGCTAAGCAATATTTCACAAGACCTACCCATTTCAAGAGAGCTATCTGTGAACAAGGCTCTCCCTGCTAGGGCCCACTTCCTAGTCCTCCTCTGGCCTGTTCTGAGGAACTCACCCAGCCCTGCCTTGATGCCCACAGTACCCCTGCAGACCATGGCTTATTTGAGTGTTTCTCCGCTATAGGTACAAGGTGGATCTCACTCCCTACCCCACCATCAGCCATATCAACAAGACGCTGCTGGCCTTGGAGGCCTTCCAAGTGACTCACCCCTGCCGACAGCCAGATACACCTCCTGAGCTGAGGGCCTAGCTTGCAAACCCTGCCTTACTGGTGTGAGGATGGGGGTGGAAGGTAGAGTGTTAGGAGCAGAAGCTGGGTGGCTGGGCAGGTCTGGAAACAACTGAGGAGACAGGAGACTTGAACAATATCCCTGAATCTACCTTCTCCCTGAACCTCTTTCTGCCTTAGTCCCCTCTTCTGTCAAATGGGTAGAAGGGGGTGCTAGGAAGCCAAGGGGTGGGGGAGTGGAAACAATACCTGCTATCTTTGTCATGGGGCAGTCATGAAAGTGAAATGAAAATATAGATTAAAATGCCTGGCAAGTTTAAAACACAGAGCCATCCCCTATTATTGGTGACCTGACTCCAAAGAATGCCCAAACTAAACTTTGGCCATTGAACTGAGGCCTGGGGCTTCCAGTTGTTCAGCTAGGGCTGAGCTGGGTTCCAGAAGACAAATACTTTGTTCCTAGTGGGAATCCTCCTGTGTGTGGAGCAGGAGGAGGAGCCAGCCAGCCGCTTGCCCGCCCTGTGGCAGGCCTGATCCCTGAGGACAAGGAAGAGAAACAGCCCTAAGCCTTATTTGCTGGAGAAACTCTACACAAGGTCCAGGTGGGGAACAGATTTAAGAAGCAGGAAAGAAAGCATTTTGTTCCCAGGGCTAGGACTAGTCCTACTGTTAAGTGTTCCACTCCAGCTCTGAGAGGGAAGCTGGCCCTCCCAACCCGGTCCCTTATCTTCAGGGGAGCATCTTCTGGACCAGCCCCAGGATTAGATACTTGGCATAAGATCCTGTCATGAATGGCCCTAGGGTCTACAGGCAGGCTCCTCTATGAGCAGTGTGAACAGCTACTGACCAGCTAGCTCAGGAGGCTGCCCAAGCAGCAGTCTCCCATGGGCTGCCCTAGGGGGAGGACAGTCTCATTCCCAGTAGTGTTTAACCAGAACCAGGATTACCTCTGGGCAGAGATGTTGGAGGGTAATTGAGGTGACTGCTGGATGAAATAGATGACCTTTTTGATCCCATCTTTGAAATTCCATTTCCCCCGCATGGCCGAGGTTAAACAGGGAATTAAGGTCTAGGTGTCTTATTCAAGTTGCAGTACTTTCTCAGCCATGAGTCCCCGTGACCCAGCTGCAATCTTAGAGCACCTATTCTCCCCTCTCCTCTGTAGTCACTCTTAATTGACCTGGGTTCCAATGAGCAAAGGGAGTCACACTTTTTCTTCAGGTGGGTTTGTCCTGGCAAAGCCAGAGAAAAGCAGAGAAGGTAGATGGGACACAGTGATGAGACTCGGTGGTACCTCCTGTTCTGCCCTGCAGCCATCTTTCCTCAGATTATTCCAGACTTGCCTTGTTAGACAAGTGTCTAATTTCTCAGTGCTGCTGTAACAGAAATACCACAAGGGGGTGGCTTTAACAAACAGAAATTTATTTTCTCACAGTTTAGGAGGCTAGAAGTCTGAATTCAGGGCACTGGCTCTAGGGGAAGGCTTTCTCTCTCTTGACTCTGGGGTCCTTGTCTCTTTTCCGTTTCTGTTCCTTGAAGATCTCCATGTGGCATGTATCTTCTCCATTTCTGCTTCCTTCTCTGTGCCTAATCTTTTTATGTCTCAAAGGTGATTGGCTTCAAACGCATCCTGCACTGACATGGCCCTGGTAGCAAAGAAAACCCTATTCCCAAATGATATCCACAAGTTTAGGGGTTAGGATCATTACACATATTTGGGGGGACACCTGTGTTTTCTCCAAGAAACCTTTTCTCGAGATACAATTCAGCCCAGGGATTAGCAGTCATTACATCTTGCCTGAAATAGAAGGTGATTAAAACTCCTGTGGTTTAAAGGACAAATAGTGTCTGATCTCACATATATGAAATGAATAGACAAATGCATAGAGACTAACATTTATTAGTGGTTACCAGGGGCAGGATGGAGAGGAAAAGAAGTCATTGTTTAGGAAGCAGTCACTTTCTGTTTATGGTGATGGGAATTGGCAAACGGTATTGATACTGGGTGCACAACATGATTAATGTAAATATGACTGTATTGCACACCTGAAAAATGTTGAATTGGCAAATGCTGTGTTAGATATAGTTTTACAATAATAATAAAACAACCTCCTGTGGTTTTTAAATATCAAATGAACTTAGGGCAAGATAGCTGCCTCACACTGCAGCCCGTGTTCCTGCAACTTCCTGGCCCAGAGAGATGGGGAGGTCAGAGAGGCAGAAGGCAAGCCTCAGGGCCTAGAGCTGACCAGCCTGGGGGCTGCTGCCACACTCCCGACATTCAGGAGGCAGCGGGCTCTGTGTCTCACTAGCAGGCTCCTATGTGAGCCCAACTAACCTGAACCGGTTTCTAATACTGCTGAGATTACCAGGGAACCAGGTCTTTTCACCTCCCTCCTCCTCCCAATTTCATCTCCAAGCAACAGAGAAGCTCAAGAGACTTCTGGGAAATGAGAAAACTAGATAGAATCCACATCTAGGACAAGGTACAGAAACACAGAAAACGTCAGAACTTTCCCACTGCCCTAAGTTATATTACAGAATAGGTACAATGAAGGAGCTCTGGTAGTGTAGTCCCTAAGGTACTTGACTGCTAACCAGAAGGGTGGCAGTTCAAACCCACCAGCCACTCCTCAGAAGGAAGGTTGGGCAATCTGCTTCCGTGGTTATAATGCCTCAGAAACCCAAGGAGGGGTCGCTATGAGCTGGGTCTGACTCAACAGCATACTATAACAACAACAGGTACAATGAGGGAACAAACTGGGATTTTTCATGGAAGATAATCATCTGGTGGCTGCTCCAGCTAGTAATGAATTCACCACTTCCTTCATCTGATCTACTAACCAGCAGTGAGCCCTCCCAGGTGACTCCCACTGAGCTGGGAGCTGGGGTGTGTGGATGTGTGTGGTATGTGTGACAGGGAATATGACAACATGGCTCCTGTTTTTAATGAGTTTCTGTCCCTCCACTTACTTTTAAAAAGGACAATTTAATTGACTGGCTCCACCTCTATCACTCAACATTGTGTACCTTTGCCTATCTTTCTGTCTGTTCTAAGTCCTAAAAGTCAACATATTTCAACTCAGACAGGTCTCCTAGAAAATATGAAAATATTAACCTGTTTAACCTGGGGCTCCATCAGCCATCTTAAAACTGGTGGCAGACTTAATAAATTTTAACAAAATCTAAACCAGGTGAAGAGGTGATGCAGCCTCCATTATTAAACCAAACATACACACACACACACAGATACACACATATATGAGCCCATATCTAATGCTGTATGTTTTCCTAAGCAGGCCCCATAGTTCAACAGGAATATTTTGGTGTCAGATGTAATGCAAACAGTCAGTCCTGGGTGGGTGAGACAGGAAGGGAATAAATACCATGGCTTTTCCTCTAGACTCAGCATGGAAGCACCAGAGACCTAGCTCAGGACCTGAGAAGCCCCCTCTTTTCTCATCTCATTTCCTCCCAGTCCAGGCAAACCTGTCCTTCCCCACAAAAATAAATTAAGTCAAAGAAACTCACTCTGGGCTTTGAGGTGACTCACCTGGAAAGTGCTGGGTTCTTGTCATCATCCCCCATCAACGACATGTGCCCTCCAGAGGAAGTTACTAAATGTTTCTGGTTCCCACCTGTGCTGGCCTCTGATCAGGGGACAATAGTCTGTCTCTGTATTGCATGATTTCTTTTTTTTTTTTTTTGATTTATAGCCTTGGAAACCCCACGGGGCAGCTCTGCTCTGTCCCACAGGGACATCAAGAGTCAGAATCAACTCTTAAGGCCGTAAGCCCACTTCTTGTTGTTAGCTCTTGCTGAGTTGGCCCTGACTCCTTGCCACCCCAGGCCCAACAGGATAAAATGTTGCCAGGTCCTGCACCATCCCCTACTGGACTGCAGATCGGACCGTGGTGAGCCCTAAGGGCTGTCTGGTTTTTGGAAGATCACCAGGCCTTTCTTCCTAGTCCATCTTAATCTGAGAGCTCTGCTGAAACGTGTTCAGTATCACAGTAACATGCACCTCTACTGACAAATGGGTGATAGCTGTAGCTGTGCGTGAGGTACGCAGGTCTGAAATCAAACCCAGGCTTCCCTCAGGGAAGACCACATGACGTTTTTGTGAAAGAGATTTCTGATGTAACCCTTAAACTTTCACCCAAATCACAATGAAAACTACATACACACACACACACACACACAGGAGCCCTGGTGGCATAGTGCCTAAGGCACCTGACTGCTAACCAGAAGGCTGGCGGTTCAAACCCACCAGCCACTCCTCGGAAGGAAGGTTGGGCAATCTACTTCCGTAGTGATACTGCCTCGGAAACCTAAGGAAGGGTCACTATGAGTCGGGCCTGACTTGACGGCACATATAACCTTTGCCAATTCAACATTTTTACATGAACGATTCAGTGACTTGATTACATTAGTCATGTTGTACAACCATCACCCATATCTGTTGCCAAATTTTCCATCACCATGGACACTCAATGAGATTCTTGTATTGTAAAGCTGGAGCCTAAGATGTGGGAGCTCTCCACACAGTCCGCAGCAACACAAGCTGGTCTCAAGAAGCTTGACTTCTTCACCCAGAACCAAGGAGAGCCTTGGCTCTCTAGGCCCGCAAGAACTTTTGTGGAATCTCCTGTGGGCTTTGGAGACTGAGGAAGTCAAGAAAGCTTGGAAGATGGAACTGGGAGGGCCTCAGGAAGGCAGGACCATGGAGCCAATGGGATGGAAAAGGTGTGTGCGTGTAGCTGGGACAATTAGAGGTTCTGGTCTAACCGAATAACCACAGCTCACAAGAGAAGTCCCTCTGGTCTCTGTGCCTGCAGTATTGAGAGTTAGTAAGGCCATCCTGTTTCAGCCTTGGGCTCTGCATGGAATCCAGTTCATCAACAAACTCAGCTTCCCTCCTCTTCGGGGATGTGGATACCTAAGATTTTGTAGACTTCTGCCTATCCCTACAATATACCCTCCTGCAGGAATGCACAGCTGGATACAAGGGATAGAAGAGAACCCTCTTCTCTGTT